GGACAGCTTCATTTTGCCATCCCGCCCAGGCGAATTGAAGCCATTTTGATCATTAAAGTGCATTTATTAAGGAAAAGTTAAACTGAGACACACTTTTGCTGTAATATTGAACAAACAATTTTTTTTTTAGTTGTTAATCTTGTTAAATTTCGAAGAACTGCAACAGCGAGTTCTCCCGTGCACACTCCTGCAGCTGCCATTTGGCAGCCAATCGATTTTTGGCACAACACCGGCCCACATTTCCCAGGGGTCAGCGGTGACGCATAATAAATACGACCTATACGGCAAAGTGACTAATTTTTTTCCACTTTATGAGACGTTTTTGGACTGGTGCTACTTATACGCCGGAGTGACTTTACAATTTGTGTTTTTGTTGGATGTAACTGGCACCCTGTGTACTTTTGTCCCACCTCATGTATCACGTGTGGTGTGTATGACAAATAAACCTCTCTGACTCTGACTTATACGGCGGAAAATATGGTACTTTCATTTTCAGTTCTATAATTCAATTTCAATTCCAAAATTCAGTTGTTTGTGTCACGCATCCAGATCCTTGAGAAAGCCACTGAGTACTCGACCGCAGATTGACAGATTTACGTTTCACGTCAGTAAAATTTCCTTTGTGGAAATGTAGGCTCAGGGTTTCGTCTCAAGGAGGCAGTAATGCAACAGAGTGGATGCAATCCACCGTAAAACACCAAAGAAGAAAAATAACTTCCTTTACGGCGTATTTGAGCTGGAGCAGTGGTGCGCACATGAACTTGGCATGAACTCATGAGCGCGCCACTGCTCCACCTTCTGCACCAGTGATCCCTATGACCCAAAAAGGAAGAAGTGTGTAAAGATAATGGATGGATGGAATTATGTGACGTAAATATTTAAACAATATTTTTCTAATAAGACTTAATTCCCAATCCCATTTAAACTCCATTCTCTCCCTGCCTCTCTAATGTTTTCTTTAAAACTTTCTCTTTCCCCTATATACAGTATTTACCACTTCATCAATACATGTTCCACACTTTCTATTTCCCCACATTCCTCCCAGTTGCTGTTATTCTTTCTCCCCATTACCGGTATATACATTGAATTGTTTAGATAAGTATGATCTACCCTCCCGTGACCCAAAATGGAAGAAGCGGGTAAAAGATAATAGATGGATGGGTAGATGATCTACCCTCAGTCGCATCATTATCATATCTCTCCTACTTCTTTCTCCATAATTCTTTATTGTTACTGATTTTTGTATATTGAATAATTTGCTTCCTTTTTTGTACTTGTTTGACTTTTTCTTCCATATTCACATTTCTTTCCCTTTAATTATTGTTTTAGCATCTCTCTAATGGAATAGGAACTGTTATTTTACCCTTCAAAGCCTGTTTAGCAAGTTTGTCTGCTCTCTCATTTTCTTTTACCTCTTCATGAGCTGGCACCCAACAAAACTGAATATCCATACCACCCTTGTGTAACCTGAATAAACTGTACTGTATTTTTAAAAGAGGGTCTTTCCTGCTGTTTCATTTAGACTGCAGGGTTTCTAACAGCCTTTGAGTCTACATACCACCACCCTGTCTGGTCCAACCTCCTCTATCCACTGAAGGCTTAATATTACTGCTACCATAGCTGCTGTGAAAACTGAACATTGATATGCTATTTGTTTGGAAATGCAAATTTCAAACTCTGGTATATAAATCCTTACTCACCCACCCATTTGTGTTCTTTGAGCCATCATTGAATATTTTCAGGTATAATTAAAAACATGAATTACACCCTTGACAGGTCTCCAGTCCACCACAGGGCCACATAGAGACAAACAACCATTCGCTCTCTCACCTAGGGACAATTTAGAGTTACCAATCAGCCTAACATGCATGTTTTTGGTCTGTGGGAGGAAACCGGAGTACTCGGAGAAAACCCACGCATGCACGGAGAAAACATGCAAACTCCATCCAAAAAGGCCCCTGGCCAGGATTTGAACCAGGCCAACCTGCTTGCTGAGAGGTGGCAGCTCTACCAACTGCACCACCATGCTGTCTGACAGTAAAATTAGACTTTAAAACATTTTTTTTTTAAACCAGTAATGAAATATATTTATCAGTTGATAAATTATACCTTTCTGTATGTGGCCTGCTTAATTAAATATTTCCCATAGCAAAGTTTTTTTTTCTGTCACTGTTTTTGAAACGTTATTGTCTGTGGCAGGAAACAGAATATATATATATATATATATATATATATATATATATAGGTTTATATATAATAAGTCCACTACTTATTTCCCTCCCTCTCTGTGTGTTTGCAGGATAATTTCCAGTAACAGATCTCATATTGTGAAGCTGCCCCTCAGCAGGGTAAGAGTCGAGGCCATCATCCTCTCACCTTTTTAATCAAATAAGAATTGGAACGCAGCTTTACCTTCCCGATCTCACTCTCTTTTTGTTGTTTCTCTGTCTGGTTCTCTGGTTATTTTGTATAGCAACTGAAGTTTATGCACACGTCCCACCAGTTCCTGTTGCTCAGCAGCCCCCCAGCCAAGGAAGCTCGCTTTCGCACTGCCAAGAAGCTCTACGGCAGCACTTTTGCCTTCCAGTGAGTGACACCTCCCATCAACTACCATAGTTTAAAATAAAATAAAATTGTGTATTCTAGATCACCACAAAGCAGTCTTTGGTCATCACATCCCTTGGAGTATGATGGGAGAACACAGTCAGATAAATTAATAATTTTCTTGTAAAGCGTTAGTTCATGACCAACATGATTATGTTTATGTGTAACACCTGACAAAGTTGTTCAGGTCTTATTTTGATAGTACCATCACAAACTGAAGCTCAAAGCAGTGACCGTTCGCTTGGACAGAGAGCACCTTTCTTAGCCAGCGTGTGAAGCCGGCGATAAATGTGTGAAAGAGATTCGTATCATAGCAGATGGGGCTCTGCTGATTTTTTTAGATACACGAGACCCATCTGGGCGCTGGCAGGGTACGACTGATGCACAAGCAGTGCTAACAGTCTCCCTTTGCTGCTGGTTAACGCTTCTGATTTATAATTTCTCAACCCAAACATGCCAAAGGTTTAATTCAACCTGGCTTCCCTCGATTTATTTTTGCATAAACAGAAACACACAAAACAAAAACATGCGCTGTTGTAACTGCAAAATTAAGAAGAAAATCCATGTTCCAGTAATTAACGCGTAAAATGAAGATGCGTTTTCACTGTGTGAAGGTTAATAAAAAACATGCTTCCAATTATGCTAAATATAGTATCATAAAACTATTTTTACAGTCTAGATATCAGCTCTGTGAGAATCAGTCAGTTGTGATGGGTTGTCATCTTTGATCTGCATCTTTTCCCAATAATAAATGACATATAATTGAAGGACTGAGAGAATATACTGGGATGCCTTCAAATATTTTTGCATAAATGTTATAAATAGATGACTTCAGCAGATGTGTTGTGATTGTCAAAAAAACAGCTTGTTTCTTATTTCTTTGTGAATTATTTTTGTCTCATATATTTAACAAAATGCTGAACAAAATTAAGAAAAAATACATGTCTTACTTTGGATTTTTTTTTGTCCTTTTCATAAAATCATTAATTTTTATTTTTTATTTATTTGACCTTTGTTTAACCAGGCAAATCCCACTGAGATCACAGATCTCTTTTAGAAGGGAGGCCTGGACCTGAAGGCACTCTAACATGCACGTTTTTGATAAATTAATTAATCCTTAAAATAAACTGATCAAAAAAACAAACAAACAAACAAACAAACAAACAAACAAACAAACAAACAAAAAAAATATATATATGTTTCTTTTTCATTGCTTTTATCAAATGTCAGGTCTTGGGACACATGAGTTGTTCACAACAAACTTCATGACTTCATCGATGAATGGTTATAAAGAAAGAAGATATAAAAACAAAACAGAAAAAGCTTTTAGCATTTAAGATATAATTAGTGAGAATTTATTTTTCACAATTTTTTTAAAATTTTTATTATTTTTAGCATGGATGGGGCCACTACATACTGTACGTGGTGGCACCGATCCAGACAGGCTTTTTTTTTTTAACTCACAGAACACTGTTTTGTATTTTATTATCTCTCTCTCTCTTTTAGTGGTTCCCATATAGAGAATTGGCACTCTGTTCTGAGGAATGGACTGGTTAATGCCTCCTACACCAAACTACAGGTATGTAACCCTGGTAGTTTATGATGCGTTGTCTTTTAAAAGCCAAATTTCCTCTTGCACAAAGCAAGCCTTCTGTCTGTTTAGTTCATTTTTGCTCTAATGGATTCCAGCATTACCTGGCATTTTAGTGAACAGAACACAGTAGGAGATTTTTCTGGCCAGTATCGGCTGCTTTTTATGGCCTTTGCTGACATCAGCAAACACTTCCACCCTGTTAGGTAGTGGGCTGTATTGCCAGCTGGGATGGCAGGAGGGTTAACCTCCCCACACCACCATCCCCAGAACACTAAGCACAGTCTGAAGCCAAGTGATACAAAAGACTTGCTCTGAAGTGATGAGTAGTGCCTCTTTTGAAAGTTTTTATCTTGCACAACTAATTATCCATTCAAACCAGGAACAAATCACACAATAGAGTTTATTCAACTTGTTCAGTATAATTAACTAACTAAAGCCTATTCCTGTATTCATCTTTAACTTTCAGTTCCTTTTCCAAAGTTGTATCCGTGCAGCAGAGAAAGCACAGAATTGTCTCGTTGGCATAGTAGCGTTGATAATGACTGCTTGGAGATACACTTGCATATCCTGAAAATAGATTAAACACAATTAAATTAGAAATCTCAGCCCTCATTGAATTGTTCACGCCCGTCACGATTGCTCTATCCCATTGATACGTCTCATTTGTGCCGTCTTTGTTCACCAACTTTTTGAACTCTCCATCTTTGATTTCAGCTCAGTGCTCATCTACTCCTCTCCTCTCCCTGTTTCAGAACTCCTTCTTCATTGTCATACAAGAGCAGAAGGGGCTGAGTCTGCCTCAGTCTCCATCCATTACGTCATGCAAAAACTCGTTTCTGTTTTTGATTTTTGTTCTTTCTGCCATATCGTGACATCTACCTCCACACCGAAACCGTTCAGTAGCTCTTTGTGCTGATGTTTTCATGCATTTTTTTTAAATTATTGTTTTATACTAATTGGATCATCATGATTTTCCACCAGCCCCATACATTTTGTTTTTGCCTTCATGACAGCGTACTTCTCAAAGAGTGGCCATGTAAGCATTTCTTCGACAGCAATTCAAAAGCATTACATGTTGACTTAGATAACGCTAACAAAACAACTTTCCAGAAACGTAAAGAACACTCACTCACCTATAGGCTTAACCTTGGTTTGACTACTGAGGTAACTGGTGTGTTTGTGTAAATATAAGGCTGTCCCATGCAACTTCTTAGTTACTCGTCCTTCCCTCCTTCCTTCCTTCCTTCCTGCTCTTTTCAATCTCAAGCTGCACGGGGCAGCGTATGGAAAGGGCATCTATCTGAGCCCCATCTCCAGCATATCTTTTGGATACTCAGGTAGGACAAGCTCCTTCCTCGCTCAAAGATCCTGTTACAACCACTTCCTGTTTTTAATTTAACATCTTTACCATGATCACCCAGAGTGTTTGTAACATGGTCTGATTACTAACTTGGAGTATGTCTTTTTTTTTAATTATTTTTTATTTTTTACAAGTCAATTCGTTTTATTCTGTCCATCTGTAATGTGATGTTTGTTCATTTTGCTTTTTGTTGGGTTGTGTGGGTTGTGTTGTGTATAACCCGCCGTACTGAACTTTATTTTGTGGCTGTGTGAAATGAGCTTGTTGCTGGGTTTGGGTCTGTTCCTTTGGTGACTCCATCATCACCTCTCCACCATGTGCCTCATATTGCTGTATTTCCATCTGAGTAATAATTCAGAGTCCTGGTCTGTTGGTCTTGTGGTGCTTTTTACAGGAATGGGGAAAGGACAGCACCGCATGCCCACCAAAGATGAGCTAGTGCAGCGTTACAACCGCATGAACACCATACCACAGGTGGGGGACACAGTGTAGCCTTATTGTACCTTATAAAATAAACACTAACCCATGTGTTTAAATTATCTTCTGGCACATTAAAAACAGTTTTAATGTCTGTAAATGTTTAAAGAAAAATGTGATGCTGCACTCTAGTTTCCTCAGCTTTTCTTTGTTGTGTTTTTTAAAAACCTATAACTGACTTCTTTATCTTTTACATCAGAGTCGTCCAATACAATCAAGGTTTCTTCAAAGTCGAAACTTGAACTGCATCGCCCTTTGTGAAGGTAATTTATAACCTGCAAGTACAAAGGTAGTTTTTGAACTGAAAGTACAAAGGTAGTTTATGAACTGAAAGTACAAAGGTAGTTTATGAACTGAAAGTACAAAGGTAGTTTATGAACTGAAAGTACAAAGGTAGTTTTTGAACTAAAAGTACAAAGATAGTTTATGAACTAAAAGTGCAAAGGTAGTTTATGAACTGAAAGTACAAAGGTAGTTTATGAACTGAAAGTACAAAGGTAGTTTTTGAACTAAAAGTACAAAGATAGTTTATCAACTAAAAGTGCAAAGGTAGTTTTTGAACTGAAAGTACAAAGGTAGTTTTTGAACTGAAAGTACAAAGGTAGTTTATGAACTGAAAGTACAAAGGTAGTTTTTGAACTAAAAGTACAAAGATAGTTTATGAACTAAAAGTGCAAAGGTAGTTTTTGAACTAAAAGTACAAAGATAGTTTATCAACTAAAAGTGCAAAGGTAGTTTTTGAACTAAAAGTACAAAGGTAGTTTATCAACTAAAAGTACAAAGGTAGTTTATGAACTAAAAGTACAAAGGTAGTTTATGAACTAAAAGTACAAAGGTAGTTTATGAACTGAAAGTACAAAGGTAGTTTATGAACTGAAAGTGAAAAAGTAGTTTACGAACTGAAAGTACAAAGGTAGTTTATGAACTGAAAGTGAAAAAGTAGTTTACGAACTGAAAGTACAAGGCCTTTTAGTAATTTTTTTGGCTTTGATTGAATTATACATATAGTAACATCTCTTTGGCGAAGGACAATTGTGGTTATTGTATAAGACATGCAATTAGAAAACATAGTTTGACTTTTGCTGAAAGCAGTTATTTTTAATAAAAAAAACAGATTTAATAAGACTTAAAATAAGTAAGGTAGGCGTAAACTCTTTTTTTACTCTTACATGTAAATGTTCTGTTTAATGATCATGAAAAATAAATTATCTCAGCAATGGAGTTACTGCAGTGCATTTACTCTCATGCCTGATACAAAAAGTGCTGCAGAGCTACAGTTGAGGTTAATAAAAGTCAATTCAACTTCCACCTCCTTTTTCCTTTTACAGTTATTACGTCTAAAGATCTGCAGAAACATGGTAACATCTGGGTGTGTCCGGTGTCCGATCATGTTTGCACTCGCTTCTTTTTTGTGTGAGTATTTCCTTCACATTCACCTCCTTGTAAATGTGCACTGAGTTAAAATACAGCAGCAGAAGTTACTTTCATCATCACAGCAAAAAAATGTTTTGTTGCCTGTTTTTAATAGCTGCTTCAGCACACATGACGAAGGTGTATGAATAAAAAAAATGTTGAACACGCTGCTGTTTTTGGTTTTTCATCATTTACTCTGCTGATTTTTGAGTGATGCTTCCGTTTAACACAAAAAGATGTATTGCAGGTTAGAAATTCTGAGTTCCATATTTCACAGCAAAAAAAAAAAGAGCTTTTGAAGGATAAGCTGCAAACAAACTGAATTTACTGTTAATATAATCAAACTAACACATTTTTGCTGAAGACAGCAACATTTGATAGAAACTATATCACCAACAAACATAGATTTATTAATAGTATAGTCTTATTATTGTGATGAAACAGGAATAAATACAATCTTTGCCTACCCCAAGTATTATTTTTTTGCATCATTCAAAAGTAAGAAAAAAAATACTACAACAAATCCATAAAACATTATCGTTTTGAAAGAGACAAACCTTTTCTGTATATTTGCAGGTATGAGGATGGCCAAGTAGGAGATGCCAACATCAACACCCAGGAGCCTAAGGTGCAGAAGGAGATAATGCGAGTGATTGGAACGCAAATCTACTCGAGCTAATGGAGGTTTACCAGCAGATGCTGGAGGCTCACAGGCAGGCAGAGAGTGGAAGCAAATGTTTGGGTGAGCTGTCCTCATGCCGGACACTGAAGGATAAGGGAGGGAGCGTCAGAGCACATCGCTACCAAAATGGTTTTTAATCTGGTCTTCTTGTTTTTCCTCCTCTATCTCCTGCATTTCTTTCCACCTAACAGTTACATTTTAAATGTCGATTTGACCCTCAGTTAATTTATGATTTAAATGTGCTTTTCTCATTTTGTGGCTGTTTCAGCCGTTAGGTGAGTCACCAGAGCTGCTATCCACTCTCATGCACACAATCTTCTGGGTTGCCTTGACATTTTTGCTATTTTTTCCATTTTTATTTTATTTTATTTGATTACTGTTACTGCTTCTGTGGGATAAATTATCTTTATTTTTCTTCTTGTTTGTGAATATGTAATCAAACAAATATTCATCTAATCAACATTGGTATTAGATAACATGAACTTTAGTTAGTTTGTTGTATTTGAAACATTATCATCTTGCATCTGTTTATTTTCATGATATGAATTAAGGTCTGTAACATGTACAAGCATATATGATTTTGATCTTGTACACTGATTCAGACTAGAAAGGCGTAGCTGGAACTCCATTTATTCACGATATGTGAACTTCCTTCTTGATAACATTCATAAAATATACCTTCTATTTTTTATAATAAAAAGCAAACAAACTTGTCATTAAGGAATCAGAACAATTTAAAAGTCTGATTGATGGTGTAATATCAACCCCCCAAAATGATCAATCTATTCTGTAATTGAAGATGTTTTACTTCCCATCCCGGGAACTTTTCTTAATTCAAAGCATTTGGAGTTATGGGATGTTAAACGGCAGGAAAAGCTCCAGAATGTAACTAGATTCTTGCAGATTCAACTCATGCCCCTCACAATGGAGGGCTGTTATTTCCTAGTGAGAGAAGAGACGAAAGATGCTGTGTTCAAAGCCTTTGCAAATTTTTGCTCATTTTTTTTAACAATCTAATTTAATATCAAAGGTTGGTGCTACAACCAGATCCTGCTGAGATCTACTGAGAGTGAGTCTTTGCATAGTAAAAAAAGATGTTTTTATTAGATCAGGCTCTTCTAATATTTTTATTTATTTATTTATTTATTTTGCACAAGCGCTTTGTCTCATGGGATTTGAGGTTTGCAAGAGCTAATAAAACAGTTGTTTAGAAAGCATAATGACAGGTGAAATATCAGAACCAGACTGTTTTGGATCAGAGCCAGTAGCTTTTAGATTTAGTAACACTATCCTCCGATTTAATTAAATAAATAAAAAGAGGATTGGTTTGACTCTGTTGTTTAGTTACAACCTTAATCTGCCGTGCTCCATCATTAATTTTCTTCAAAGTCGTAATTTATCACATTTAAATTCATTTTTGGATTGCCTCATATGATTCTCTCTGTGAATGATGTAAACTGACGGATCCACAATCTAAAATCCACTGTACAAAAAATCTGATTCTAGAGTCACCGAGTTGGAACTTTCTGCTTTCATCTGTGAGACGAACAACCTTGTATAGCTTTTTTTTTTTTTTTTTCAATAATGCAAAGTATGTTGTATGTACAGGTATGTGTGTGTGAGTGTGAGAGTGGGTGTGAGAGTGGGTGTGTTTGTGTGTGCGGCTTTGTATTTTCATTTTCTAGACCTTATACTAGACATTGCACTTATTCAACATTTGCCTAAACTGGAGAAATCGACTGTCCTTGCACCTGCAGTTGACAGGAAGTGGAAGAAAAGAGACCACACCGTAACTATTTAAGGAGGCCAAAAGACTATTATATCCAACATCTCAACTACAGTATGTCTGTACTGAGATGGACTCTCAGCGTCTCCTGGATCTTGAACTCTGCCAAATGGACAGTGAGCTATTAAAAAGAAGGAAACTTGTACATATGGACCCTGGAGACCCCGTTGAAAAGTTCTGCCCTGAAAGACATGGACATGATGGGCTTGTGCAGCAGACTCAGACTCTGCTAAGAGTTGTAAGGTTTTTTAGTTCCGTATGTCCGGTTGGAAATGTTTCTGAGATTACATTGACGACAATGATGGTAATTGTGACGGTAAAAGGCGGCAATCAAGGAGAAAACAAGAATAAAGCCTGATTTTGCACAGTTTTACAAACAGTCTTGTGTGCTTTGATATTTGTTTTGATAGAGGGACCATTAACTGTGGACATGATGCTGAACATGTTGCTGTTGAGCTTTTTCCTGCTCTTGTTTTAGACAGAAGGGGGCACTATTACACAACTTCACACATCATCTCTGTTCCGCTTGAAGCCAAAAAATATCAAATGAAACTTCTTTTTGTCTTCTTTGTAACTCTCTCCTGTAAGTTTTGAGAAATCGAGGCTTTCATTTTTCATACGAGGACAACAAAATAGCATTTGTTTGAAATAACTAATGGAACAGTCATGTCTGCTTGTAAAACCTAAATTGTTGCTGTTTTATGTGATTCAGTTCATTTCACCCGGGTTCCTTTACAGAAAAGCACACAGGCTCAATTCAAGTATGGGACATTTTTATTTCCACCAATAACAAAAAGGATTTTTTCATATGTATTATAAACATGAAGCAATGTACATGGTAACAGTTTCTGGATGCACTAGATTTTAAATTTTACCATAGGTTTTACAATACATGCTAAGGCTGGATTTATTATCATATAGTTGAAAAAAAAGTTACACTATAGACATGCACAATCTGTGCCTTTTTGCACATCTTGATACTCTGCTGACATTAAAATCAAACAGAAAGAAACACACAAAGTTAACATTTAAAATGTGAACAGCTTTTACTTGCAGAAGTGCTTGACTTTATTTACGAGGCCAACCTACTTGAGATTCCACCTATAGGTACTTACTGGCAATATAATTTTATTTGTATTTTACTAGTATCTTCAATCTTTTATACTAAGTAATAATATGCCTTCTTCAGTCCAAAAGAGAGGAAACCACTGACAGTTGTTGACTCCCCATCCCGTCTTGGTTTCTCTTGCTCTCTGTGACCACAGAAAGCTCTCCACTTTCAAACCCCTGCAGTGGTCCTGTTTGATAGCTATTTTGGCACACGAGGCCCTGGATGTGTACAAGTGCTGGCTGTGTTGAGAGCAGGTTTAATCATAGGGAAGCTGAAGCACTCATGGGCTCTTGAAAGGCACTTTATGTGTATGTATTGTGGCTACGATAATTGGGCGCCTCCCTTTTTGTAGATCAACCTCTCCGACGGGGCCTGTGGCTGGCCCTTTTGTGCTGATATCGGCATGTGTGCATGTGACTAGCAGATGATATGTATAGTTCACAAATTACTATGATCTCTGAAACCCAGCCCTCATGTTGGACATGGTCCCCTGGTTTGGCTTTGTCCCCCGTTACCAAAGCCAGCTGGCTGGTTGCTCACGAGTGCAAGCAGCCTTGAACCAAACATCGTGTGTAGTGAAATCTTTTACCACTGAGGGGAGCTCTGGTGTTATTCTGCTCTTTCTTTTGTTTCAACTGCTTTCTTTGCATACTTAACACACAGGCACTGGCAGACACACATGCACATACACACACCATGCAGTGGTTGTTTGGTCAGATAAAGGAGTAGTGACGGGAGGGCGCAGGGTCACCAAGGGTGTCTGGCCCTCAGCGGAGGCGGCTGCTCCCGTCCCCCACTTTCTCCTGCCTCCGTAATAAGTGTGACCGTTTGATTCTTGCACAAAAGAGCAATTACAGGGAGTTGTTTAATCACCCACATTTTTATTGAGCACGGGCTCTTTTAACTTGCAACTCAGGCCCCACGTCGGCGGCAGCAGCAGGCGACAGGAGTGACAGAGAAGGTCAGCGGTTTAACGGGGCGCAAAGGGGTTTCGTTTGAATTAAGACTCGCAGACTTGCTCTGCGCTCTTTGGAGGCTCCCAAGACAGAGACAAAGAGCTCGATGAGACAAGAAGACAGGTCGGCCAGCCAGGCAGAGAGATAGATGAACTTAAGAGAGAAGGGGAAAGATACTGGAGGGCAGAGCTTGGTGGACACGTCAGATTCAGGTCATTTTATTCACTAAGGAGGATAAATTTGCAGAAGTGAATCTTGGATAGGCACCGTGACACAAAGTGGCATGGGTATTTTGTTTTTGGGCACACTTGTTGAGCATTGATCAATTTCCTAAGGGTAATGAAACCAATATTTGACGATGTTTGATGAAATACCTAAAATAAGTAAAGACAACACTTTTGAACTTACCAGTAATAAGCAATGGGATTTGTGTTTATCATCATTGCAGGGATGGCATACCTTTTTTTAATAAAATGAAAGCAAGTAACAATAAAAGAAAGACATCAGAACTTGATTTCTCTACAGTCAAGAGCCCAAGTAAGCCCAAGCTTTACCAACAGCAACAAAAACAGTACCATGCACTCTCTATGTCAGTGCTTTTTATTGAATTTTCAACTGGGGCATTACTCTGTATTTGTGTTTATGCAGACTGCCTCCTCCTGCTACTCCATGATTTGAATGATGGAGTACAATTCATATCTTCTTTCATAAAAAGCAATAGAAGATGGTATGAGGCAAAGAAAGCAAATGTGATGGCGATTTTTTGGAATGGCAAAAACAGGGCAAAAGGGGGTTTGGAGCACATGGTAGCAACGCTGGTAGAAAGAGACTGAGCGAAGATGAGGATGAGAGGGAGAAGGAGGAAGGAAAGGAGTAAACCATTGCTTGCTCATAAAGCCAACAGCTGTGTGGGTAATGTTTTGTGACACCGAGCCTCTCCGAGCCCTTCTGTTTCCCAGAGAGCAGGGGGACGCCATATTCCGTCGTCACAAATGGCTCTGTCATTCACCCCCTAAGTCTTAATTATCACTCCCAATTTTTATTTATTTATTTATTTTTGTTTTGCTTTTTTTTATCGAGTTTTTTTGGCCACATTTTGCTCAGGGGTATGGATCCATCTGCACACTATAATTCCACGCCGCAGTTTACAAGTGGCATTTACTACAATGGCCTCAGCGGCATCTTCTCTTTAACACCAGCAATCTTTTCCAAAGACCGGGGAAACAAAAGAGCAAGTGCAGCCTGGTAGCAACAGTGCCCACCCCCAGTTTCTTTAAATGTTTTTTTTTTCCCCCATCTGTACTCTCACTCCCCCACACTCCAATAAAATGTCAGTATCTCCTTATGTTTAAGAGGAGAATTGGTTTTATTATTTGACTTTGTTATTAATTTATTTTTAGAGGCTTGACTGTAGTCACACAAATGGCCCCTATCTGCCTTGAAGCACAGGAAAAGGAAGTAGATGATGTTGATCCCCCCTCTACTCCCCCCCCCCCCCCGCCCCCCATTTTCATAATTCATTTTGGATTAATTCTCTTGTCTTCAGAGACAATCCTAATTCTTTATTATTTCCACTTCACAGGCTTGATGACATTCCTGTATCCACATATCATATCCAGGGGAAACTTTACACCCAGTAGACCTGATTGTTCTCTCCCTTCTTTATTTACCCCCCCCCACACACACACACCCTTCCTTTCTTTATTTTTTTTCTCGTTCTCTAATTTTTAAGCCCCCCACCCCCACCCCCACCCCCATCCATGCTGCTTTCACTTTCCCCCCTTCTCTCTCTTTATTCTTTCCTTTCCACTATTATCTTTCTCACTGGAATAACAATGCTTGTTATTTTCCAGAGACTCATCTCTTTTCTATAAAGTCTGGTGAATTCTGCCCCCCCCCCCCCCCCCCCCCCCCGACACACACACACACACCTCTTCCTAACTCATTCAGTAAATATTATAATGTGTGTTTTCTGTATGTCATGTCTGCTTGCCTTTTGCTATTCATGTGGAAATAAAATGACACTGAGTGTTCATTGCCATCGAGGGGCGACTGGGGGGAGGGAGGGATCTACACTCATTTGTCACCTGTCTTGCTCTCTTTATGAGGTGCTGCATGTGCTTCTCTTCTACTCCTTCACAACACCCATATGTCAGCTTTTTTCCTATCAGGGATGCTCATTTGCAGGTGTACAATCATGTCCGTCAGATACCCAGTTTTATTTTTAATCACCTGCTGCTGAGGGCAGAGGAGGGTGATAATGTTTTTAACCACTTGTGTGTACGTGTCTGTTACCAGAATAACTTGCGCCC